ACATAACCCTGTAGTTTTAAACAAATCAGAAATGAAATACCTGAAGCGGTTAACCTGTTCCTAGGTACGAAATGATTTAATCCTACTACGGCACGTTTTAACGGTCTGCGTGAAATCTATAAAACTTTAGGATTGGCTTATTCGGTTGTATTGGAGTGTGGTTGTAGAGAGCGAGCGGTCGTGTCATTTATTTTCGGACGGCGTGACGAGGTGAGGAGAGAAGAAATGCGTACCGAAGTCATAATTACCGTATTTTTACCGATAACTACTATTCAGAACTTTGCACAGCATAAAGCTGGAATTGTATAACTAAGATTTTGTTTGGGTGCATGTGCGCGTGTGCATGCATGTATGTGTGTGCGTGCATGGGTATACGTTTGTGTGTGCGTGTGAGTGTATACCAAATGTCGAGGAATAAGTGGGACGAATACTCAAGACGAGGCGAATGATAACTCCGCTATACTTTATGCTTTTTATTCATTTTAAGTGGCTCCAACTGTTTTTTACTGTTTCTAATCACATATATTTCCTGAAAAGAGCGTAGACATTGTGCTGTAATGCAAAAAGATTAGAAGGAAGATTTCCGAAATGTTCCTGTTAATTTTCCGGATCTACTTCAAAATTTACCACCATTATCTATAACTGTAAAATGCACGTTCCATTTCCTCACTTTTGTCTTGTTCTCTTCCCCTCTTCCATCCCGTCGCTTCCTTCCATCCCTCGTCTTCTAGCTAAGAACTCCGTTAATTTGCATAAGTTACCTTGTAACTTTGTTTCATTCATGTTCTCATCCGGTCGTCCCTTGAAATTCTGTTTAACTTTTCCTGTCATTACTAGCATTTGCCAGTCGGCATTACAACTTACGTGATTGTACAACACGCATATAACTTGTGCTTCACACAAAACCGACATTTTACCTTACTGTATCCTGATGCTTTTTTTTCTTTCATTTTCAGCAAAAACAATGGCGGAGACACCTATCAAATATATTTTGACCATTACGGATGAATCAGAGCAATTTGCTATTGTTGAGGTAAGAAATCTCTTATTCTGTGTAACGGACAGCTAATTAATGAAGCAGTAATAAAATTTCTGCAAGTATCTTAGAAAATAACTGACTCGATAAGAGTTATATTTACAAGCATAAGTCGTGATATGGATTGAATTTGAGCGAAAGTTCCATTGATTAGCAAGAATTAAAGGAGACTTGGTGGAGAAACAGAGACTAAATAAAAGAAATTGTTGGAAAATTGATAAAGAAGTGAGTTACTAAAAAACTAACAATTTATCTGAAATATAATTTCTATTTGAAGGCTGAAGAGCAAAATGGAAGTTTTCCTGTTTACTAAATTTTTGGTTTCATAAAATATATCTTAAATAATAAATTATGATTTTTGACGCATTTTGACGCATAGATTTGGCCATTTGTTTCCATTAATTCGAAATTTCACAAACGGAGGAGTTTAAGGAACTTGCCATCTCACTGGCTAATCATTTACACTTCTATTGTTCTCTTTTTCTGCCACTTGATAAAGTTGACTAATGCAAGGTACCTAAATTGAAAGGGCTTCAAACACTAAACGAGTGAACATTCAATATATAGGGAGGTAGGAGGTCGTTGAATTTTATAAGTGGCGCTATATTCGATAGATCGTAGAGTGATGAAAATACACTTTTTTCGAGATAAATTATCCTGAATTTAGATTAGCAAAGTTGTTCATACTATAAGTATCCTATCAATGATACAGTTAAAGACAAGATTGAATTCATTACTTTATGTTTCAGTCGGAAGAAGGGGAAGATGCAGAGCCGTTCTTGCCGATGGAGTGTCAGTGGTTACTAACAATATTTTGTTTTTGAAATGATTTTTAGTAGCAGCAAAATTATTATCTATAGCTATAAGGAATTAATGGCAGTCTGGCAGATTACTATTTATCTTGTACTACATGTAAGATAACCTGAGGACTACGACTAGATAAAAAGTCGAAGCAAAATAGCGGTTCACCTTATTGAAATAAACGGTACAGACACCCGTCACTTTTCGTTTTCCCAGTAATTTTGGAGGTGATTGAAAGAAAAAAAAAAGGATCCTGGAATGCCTAAATAACTTGCAACAGTATGACTCACTTTATTTTATTATATCTTTTTCACTTTCTGAAAAATTTCTTTTGCAACTAATTAATTGTCGATTCATGGTATATTCCATGAAAATATCAATGCGGAGTGACTTGTAGATGATTTCGTGTCAAGTAGCGACTCCAAGATATATTTTTGTTTAATTTAAAAACCAATAGTATTTCAATTTTTTTCTCCTTTTTATTCTTTTTACTACTTGTGTAATTGAGAAGGAAGTAAATTGTTAATTTATGTTAAATGTTTCTCTTCTTTTCTAACTTTTATTTTTCAGAATATTCGATATTTTATTGATTGGACGACAAAAAACGAAATTATTGCATTCTTTTCCCCAAATCGTTTTTACATTGTATTGCTTTTACAAGAACAATTTTCGGTATAATAAGTAGTTCATCGTTTTTACTAGCAGAGTCAGCAGTCTACTAAAGCGATTTCTTTAGACAAAAGGATCGGTTAATTTTAAATAAATTTAAAAAGAAAAGGAAAAAAAAGGGTGAACTACATATCAATCGGAATATTGCAAATATGCTTCCAGTATCGACTTTTTTTGGTGTAATTTTTGGCAATCGTAATGAATATCTAAAATGATCGTATATATTTGCTTTCCAGTATAAAGTTTTGAAATTTCTTCGTCTAATGCCATTTGTTTCATTTTTCTCACTTCTTCGGGTTTGAATCATGGAAATCTCGACTTCCAGACACTTCTAGAAAAGCCGATTGCTTTTCATAATTATGTGAGTTTATTGTGGGTTTTGAGATTTTGATTTGTTTGTATAGTTGAAAAATACTCCAAAAAACAAAAAAAAAAAAGGTTAATGAGCAACGAATTCAGATCAATGAAGAGTTTCAGTGATCATTTGGGAGCAATGAATATTTATTTTTTCCTTTTTTTTTTTGTTAAATTTGTTGCATACTGTTGTATTCATTATACGCACCCTACCCTACCTAATGTCAGTGATAAAAGCATTTTCTCATAACAGTTGATAAATTGGTTATCATGGCTAAAGTGTCATGCAGTTGGATATTCAGTGGTTTTGCCTTGTTATTAACTGAATTTTGATGCATGATTAATGCTAATGTACTATACAACACATTACTCTTCGCTGAAAACCCCTTATTGCGGGAAGAACCATGAGTACCCTTACTTATAAGGTTGCGAGCTTTGCTGGCACTGGAAAATGCCTTTGGTAGGATTTCCTATGCCATACAGGTCTCAACTAAAGAGTTAACAAAGCGTGTCCACGGGCAAGATGGGCCCCTCTCGGCAACCGTCCTAGGAACAACTCTAACTCCAAACCTGGGCAGACAGAGCTCATTTAGCCCTGTATGATCATTCATCTAAGAGAAGGATTAGCTAAGTCTACTATTTCTAAATTAAATCTAAATAAAAAGTTTAAATAAAAGTCTAAAATGAAATCTAAATAAAAAATAACTAAATCTAAATTAACTAAATCTAAATAACTAAATCTACATCCTGAGGACTCCATTAGCTCTGTAATGAGGTACGAAATGGCAGATGATAAGGTAAATTGGAAGTCGCAGACTAACCCTGCGTGCAGGCGATTCAGAATAATAGTCGCTCAAGAATTACTCAGAGATGGTGGTCTCATTCGGTAACATCCTGAATGACCAAGCAACCTTTTTCAAGAACAACACCTAAAAAAGGTGGCCTAACCAAAATTCATTTCCACCTCCGCTCGCTTAGTCAACTGCGACTGACGGGCATTTTCTGATGAGGTCAAACAACGATATAAAAAGATAAAGGCATACATTTCCAAGGGTGTGTTCAGGTTAGCACTTGCCTGTTGGAACATCAGAACTATGCTTAATAATATGAATAGTGGAGTACTAACGTCGTCCCAGTCTAACTGCCCACGAACTATCGTTACTCATCACATCGACATAGCTGCTCTCTCCATGAAAAGAATAGTCTCAAAGGACATAGTGCTGGCTACATGATCTACTGGTAAGGAAAACTCAGAACTGAAAATCACTTCTCTGGAGTTGGTTTATGGTTAAAAACTCCATCGTCTCCAAATTTGACAATTTGTCGACAGGTCACTCCGATTGCGTTATCTGTTTACGCCTCTCACTGCACACCAAGAACAGGCTGTTCTCAGCATATGTGCTCCAGCTGTTCGTGGAAGTTGGTTGTTGTCGACGAAGTCCTCGTTGTATTGTTGATTAGCACCAATGAATAGTTTTGCAGAAGGCTTCTTAGTTTAGGAATATTTATTCTTTTTTAAATATAATAAAAATGTGTCGGCAAAAATACAGATCGAGTTCTAGACTGATTTGTAGATTCTTGTAGAAATATTTGGAGGGAGGGGGGGGGGAGAAGGAGGGAGCGGGGAGGGCAAAAAAATTAGGTAGCGCTTTTTGTAAGGAGCGGCAAGGATCAAACTGATCCCAGATGACCGAATCTCCTGTTCATATATTGGGAGCGGTCTGTATGTACAAATTACTTTTATAGATTAGGAGGTTACAGTAGAGGAGATTTGTTGGTTACAGTAATTTGGCAAAGGAATATAAACTTGATTAATATACTGGCAGATCATCAAATAAGAACGCTGCCACATAGGACTTTGTGCCTACAATCAAGACATTGCAGTTAAGATAAAATAACAAATCAATGGCAGATAAATACAAAATTTAAATATTGCAAATAAATTTGACTAACAATTTAAGAGATGGAAGTCAGACAAATGATTCATTGCTTTAAAATAAAAACATTTCTACTATTATTTGTTTTTTTTTTTTTGTGTGCAATGAATCATTTATTTAAAAAATATTCAAATTAAAACAATTTTTATAGACCATATTCATATTATTATAAATCTACATCAAGATATTTAAAAATATTTCGGTTTTTCTCGACACCAACTCTGCCAGCCTACCTTACGGAAAAAGATAAATTTTATGCTGACCTGCACAATCTCATCGAAAAGGTCCCTACAGATGCAAGGTCGTAATCCTTGGTGACAAATAGGGAAAGAGTACGGAAGAACACTGAAACCTGATAAGGCAGGCAAGATGTTAGAAACGACAAAGGATGGTTTCTGCTAAAGTTTTGTGCAGAGTGGCAATTTACCATCACATACACTATCTTTCAACACCGAGACAACTTAAAGATAACATGAATGCATTCTCGATCCAAGCGCTAGCACATTGTTGGCTATGTCTTAATGCTCCAGAAGAACGTTGACGAATTCCATCATATCCGAGTGATATCTAGTGAAAAATGTTAAACAAGCATCGCGCTGTGCCTTGTGTGGTCAAGCTTGACCATCACTTTAAACCTAAACCTGAGATGGGCATAATTCCAAGGAGGAAGCTCAAAGTTAACAATATTGAAATGGCCACAGTGAGACACAGTTTCTCGATAAACCATCAAACTAGACTTCAAGACCATTCCACAGACCCCTCTCTTTGACAACGCATTAAAAACAGCACTCTGAGGAATCTTCAGGATTCTCCTCCATGTGAAGCAAAGACTGATTTGATGAAAACAATCAAGAGATCCATAAATTATTGAGAAAAGCAGCTTTTCGCCTTGCATACCACGCACTAAGCTCCAATACAAACATCCAGAATATGTGGTGAAACAACTTAGCAGAAAGATTCAACTTTTCGCAGATTCGGATGACCACGAAAGATTCTGTAAAACTCTGAAAGCAGTGTACAGACCAACACATCAAACTCAAAGCTCTCTTCTCAGCGTAGAGTAGGAAGCTCTGAACATGGTGTGTGGGTCTGTCCTGGGCCAAATGCTTCTAATAGATAAAACCTCCTCCTAAATTGACGTCTGAACATTCCCACACTTTCTTCAGTGCCAACCATGTAGTCCAAGGCTCAATTAAGCACATTATACAACAATCGGTGGAAAACAAACTGGATGTACTTAAGGCCATAGTAAAACTGTCAAGATAGGTGGGATTGATGGAATTCCACCTGAGGTCTGGAAATATGAAGATCAAGTATATCATGCTAGGTTTCATGAACTCGTTGTGCGATGTTGGGTGAAAAGGATAAACTACCAGCAGATCTCCTTGATGCAATCATTATCGCCCTATACAAGAGGAGTAAAATCAGGCTACTCACCGAGATATGATCTTGCTCTCTATTGCTGACAAATTCCTTGCAAGAATACTTCTGAACAGATTAGTACTCGCTATCTTAGAAGAACTTCTACTTGAAAGCCAGTATGGCTTCAGAGCCAATAAAAGCACCATAGATAGAGTATTTGATCACAGACAACTTTACGAGAGAAGGCAAACAAAACAAAGGACTCTATATAAGTTTGGTAGACCTTCCAAAAACTTTGATAATGTGAGCAGAAAAGGCCTTTGGCAGATCTTGGAACGATTAATCTGCTCTCTCCCACCTTCTTTAAGGTGATCATGATATTACATGAGAATCAACGTGGCCAAGTCAGATATGGCAATGCACTCTTTGAACCCTTCGATGAAACAAGGTCTCGTTTTCGCACCAAGTCTTCACATTCTATTTCAGCATGATATTCCAAAGGTCTATGGCAAACCTTAATGAAGAAAATGGCATTTAAAATGACGACAGCTCATTCAACCTATAGCGACTAATTCTGAATCATCACTCTGAATCAAAGTAGCTCTCAGATATTTTTTGCCGATGATATCACCCTCGTTGCTCACACAAAAGCAACTGTGCAACGCCTAACATTCTATTTTTCAGAGGCTGGAAGAAATTTCTGGACTGGAAGTTAGGTTGAAGAAAGAAGTTCTCTTCCAGCCTACATTTTTACGGGAAAACTACCATCATCTTCACATTACCATAGACAAATCAGAGCTTAAGTCAATCCACAGTTTAGCTATCTGAGTAACATCATTTCTTCGGACGACACAGAGATCGACAACAGGTTAGCAAAAGCATTCAGAGCTTTCGGAAAACTCCATGAAAGAGTTTGCTGGTAATTAATACCTGAAGAGAAGTACAAAGATTAATACATGTAAAGCCATTTGTACTGTCTATTACATGCATCTGAATTATGAGTCATCACCTGTGATTTCTTGAACGTTTTCAACAACGCTGTCTTCGTACAATCCTAACCATCCATTGGTCTGACGAACTATATGATTAAGGTTACTGCTCTTGAACAGGCAAGAGTTATCATTATTGAAGTTGAGGACATTATTGCACTGGACTGGGGAAGTTTTACGGATAGAAGAACAACGTCTTCTAAGATTGTGCTCTATGGCGAGCTTGTCATCGACTTCCACAAAAGAGCCTCAAAAAGTGGATACAAGGACTCTCTAAAATTATGCTTTTGTTTTGGTTATATAGGCTACCATCAATTATCTATTCTGGTCTCGCATCGGGACACACCGGGACGCATGGACACACCTTACATAATGCTGCTGCTTCCTTTGAGAACACACAAAGAATTAGTTTCGAGGAAAAAAAGCAGAACAAAAAAATCGTGTCTCACCAATACCGCCTAAGGAGACTTTCCGCTGTGTTTTTTTTTGCAGACGGACTTGTTTATTCCGCATTGGCCTTTTTAGCCATCATCACGCTTGAATCAAACATTGGTATAACATTTTCCGTTCTCGAGATCCAGCCACGACGACGAATGTAACAGGCTCTGAACCCTTTCTATGTGGACACTTTTGTATATTGTAGTATTTTTTTTTTCTTACGGAATAAGTAAATCGATATTACTGTAAGTCATCTAATATATTGCGTTAAATGATGCTTCTGAAACAAAATAGACTTTTCATTTGTCAAATCAAAAAGTTTTTTTTTTCTTTCAAATAAACTTTTTCCGCATTTTTTTCTTTAATTCATTTAAATGAATGCTTAATTATTTATAGTATTTATTTTTAAACTTCAAATTTGAGCATATAAATTTCAGAATGAATTTGAGGAGAGAAAAAAAAAAAACAAAATTAGACGACATTTTCCCTTTGTGACACTATTTCATTTTTACAACAGTAAAGATGAAATGAAATCGTTTCCGATACTGCAACATGATGTTTTACTGTTCAGTTATCATGATAACGATAATAATGCTTATTAATTGATTTTGGTTAACAGCAGAATTATGTTGAAAATTATATGACACATACGACGATGATATCACTGCAAACGATAAATGGTAAAAAATATTATTAACCAGCATTTATGATCCTTATTCATGGAAGATTCGGGAAAGGTACATCTAATTTATTTATGATTTTAAGGCATAGATATCAATATTTTCTGATTAGTATCAATTCCATTTTATGATAAATCTAATTGTATAAGATAATGAAGAGTTAAAATTATTGGTACTTGAGATAAAATCATATGCCAAAATAATAAGGAAATCAATCATGATTGCTTTTTTTTTATCTTCAGTTTTTTTTCTTTTTTAACGCTATTCAAGAAATTTTTTAACAAGATTCTTTAATTCAATCATTCTGTACAATTGAAAAATTAAGTAATAAATCTTTTCCATTAAAAAGTAGACAAAAATTTCAGAAATATTTTATCCTAAATATTTAATCACCAACAATTGCTTTTAATTGATGATATTTCTATTACTTTGTTATCATGATCATAATAATTCGCTCACTCTTGTGATACAAGAATTTTTAAGCAATCATACTTATTTATTTATATACAATATATATTTTTATTTTTATTTCAATATTTATTTATATGGTCGTGTAACTATCACTATAAAAGATTTGATAACTGTTCGAAATAATTTTAGGAAATGTATATTTCCTATAGAGACAACAATGTCATATGTTTTTAACAAATTGTCATATGTTTTTATCTTTCAGAGATTTAAATTATCAATGCTTAGCATTACTGTATTTCATTTCAAATAATATTTCCTATTGTTATGAAAATTTTCAAATTTATGAAATTTCTTTTGATTTTAGCAGTAGATTTGTTGAATTAATGAAAATTTAATGGAGAATTTTATTGAGGCTTTAAAGTAAGGAAAAGAATACAACGTTACAATGTAATTTTAAATTCTATTCGATAGGTAAATATCCAAACTATCTGAATATTGTATCAGATTTTCTTTTTCTTTTTTTTTTTTAAATTTTTCTTTTCCTTTTCTTCTTTCTAAGATTTTCTTTTTCGGCATATTTCAAAAAAAAAAAAAAAAATACGCCCATTTAATTATTTATTTTATTTCATCATCATTCATTTTGTTTAGATATCAAAAAAAAAAAAACAAAGAAAAAAAACAAAAAACAAAAGGCTGTTAATATGGCAATCATCCTAAACAATATAAACTTTTCAAATTTGTTTCCTGAATCAAATTTAAATGACGAAACAATATTTAATTGTCTTTTTTTTTCATTTTTTGAAATTC